ACTTGTACCATTACAGAAAATGTCTGACTCCACCTACCAAGCACTTTACAAGTCAGATCAAACGCCCAGGTCTTTCGAACAGGAATAGAGGTTTATCCCCTGTTTCCTGCTTAGGAGTTGGTTTCCGGTACCTTCTAAAGTCTATAACCACGGTATATCTCTAACCTTTGAAATTTTTTTTACTATTTATTTCCTGTATTTTCCTCAATAAGATTAGGTAGGTTCGCCTATCATATGGTTCACAATCCATCCCGATCTTTTGAACAGGAATAGAGGTTTATCCCCTGTTTCCTGCTTAGAAGTTGGTTTCCGGTTCCTTCTAAAATCTATAACCACGGTATATCTTTAACCTTTGAAATTTTTTTAGTATATATTTCCTGTATTTTCATCAATAAGATTATCCCGATAACAGGAATCGCCTATCATCTGAGTTATATTTCCTGTATTTTCATCAATAAGATTAGGTAGTTCTCGTTCACAATCCATCCGATCTTCTGAACAGGTGAAAAGTGGTTTATCCTTATCTTTAACCTTTGAAATTTCCTGTATTTTCATTAAGATTAGTTTCGCCTATCATCTGGTTTCTTTTAAAACAAGTCAATGCATTAGAATTACTTAAAAAAATGTAACATAGTATTTTAAAAATTAAAAGTGAAATATTTTTAAAATCGTAGTTTAATAAAAACGTATTCCAACCTAAACACCCCTTCAAAAAAAAAAAAAAATCTATAAGTATACAAATAGAACAAAAAGAATTTTTGCCGTTAACAATAATTTTTTTATAAATAATTTTTTTTAAAAAGAAATCCAGACGACATGCATTTAACGGATGTCAGAATTCATTGAAAAATACATCCCTACCCCCTACCAAAACGAAAACCCTTCTTCAAATGTAACTAATAACTGATACATCAAAATAAAGCGATAATGAACACGCAACCACCCCCTTGTCTGGATGAATGGATTTCTCTGTACCCTTGGAAACGTGAATTATGAATTTTTGCTGTGCCTTTAAAACCCAGTAATTTTAAAAATAAGTTACTCCAAAATTCTCTTGAGAATGAAATGGAACTAATGTCTTTAATTTAATTACAAAATTAAATTCGAAGCTTTTAGCTTCCATTTTTGAAACATGGTTAGAACTGTGAAGCGAAAAAAAAACATATTTTAATTCAGTTAATTTATAATATATATATATATATATATATATATATATATATATAGCTGCTCTTGATGAGGGTGAAAGGAGTCTCTCCGAGCTTTGGTTAGCAATCCTTTTAGTGTTGGTTTCACGAAAAAAAAGACTTCAGATAGGAAGGAAAACTCATGACAGCTTAGCCCGTTCATTATATTGCATGTGTCTGCCGAGAGGCGTGTACTGGCTGATATTGACAGTGATCTGGTGAGGTTAAACTCCGCGATAATAATACATGAAGACTGTCGTTCGGAGTTACAGTGGCAAGTCTTTTGTGGACACAAGCCTTCACCACTTGAAACAAATCATTGTGTTGGTTTTCTGACAACTTCATCTAATTAGTTCCCCACATATCCGGCTACTGCGAAAAACTCTACTAAACATCAACTTCATCTTGGCACTTGGATTGTACGAACTCTCCAGGACAACAACTCAGCACCAATGAAAGTAAAAAAAAAAACAGCTCTGGTCGCATTGGAGCTAAAGAAGTACAACGTTGATATAGCTGCACTGAGAAGTAAACATCAGTCGACTACATGAAATGTTGCACTTGGATACAATACATTCTCCTGTACTGTTTGTGGTATTTTGTGCAATTCTCAAAAAAAATGTCTTGGGCATGCAGATAATTAGTTCGTGGTCGTCGGAACGACGGGAGAATCCATATATTATATATATATATATATATATATATATATATATATATATATATATTGTCATTCACAGACAGACTGTTTCGCTGTATCACAGCTCCTCATTGTGGCTAGACGTCCGATTGCCTTTAGCTACGATCGAAACCCGGCTGAATTTTGCGTCAGTCGGCGATTCTACCACTAAGCCATTGCCACACGGAGGGGATGAAAGTGCCTTGGATTCATTTCAGAAAAGGCAGTATGAATCTCGATTACCTCGATACAAAAAAGCTGGGAAAATATACTAATAACTTTCGACGTGATTTTATATATATATATATATATATATATATATATATATATATATATATATATTGTCATCCACAGACAGATTGTTTCGCTATATCACAGCTCATCAGTGTGGCTAGACACCCGGTTGCCTCTATCTAGGATTGAAACCCGACTGAATTGGCGTCAGTTGGGATTCTACCAGTAAGCCTTTGGCGCACGGCAGGGGTGAAGGTGAATTTAAGCGTATTTATTTTTAGATAAACACACAGTGACTGAGAGAACTCGATTCGATTTACTGAAGAGTCTTGCATTATTAGCCGTAATAGACACTGTTTATAAACCCACACTTCCTCCCCAGTGAGCTCAACCGAAATAAATTTTTCAGGAGAATATATATATATATATACACACACACACACACACACACACATATATATATATGTGTGGGGAGGGGGGCTTTCAAGCACTGTCGTTTATAAATTACATGAAGTTCGATGTAAAATTAAGTAAATCTTTTAATTTGAAAGTTGAAGTGTTTGCCTTTCTAAGAGAAAAGTCATATAAAATCAGTTATTAAATCACTTCAGATTTTGTGGCCAATAATAAATACTTCCACCTCCGATGTAAATTTTCCTTGAGAAAGCACCGAAAAGTTGATACATTTTTTGAGAGACGCTGTACTAATAAAACCGATCTAAAAATCAAATTATTCCCTACCCACTAAAAATTATTCCCCGCCTCCTAAAAAAAAAAAAACCTATCCCCTAAAAATACTATTTACGAGGTGTATTTATCTGATGAACAGGGCCACCACTTCTAAAATGAAAAAAAATATTTTTCAATTCTGAAAAATGACTTGTGTAGAAGAATATTTTATGAAAACTAATCTAAAAATGAAATAATTATTTCCTGTCCTTAAAAATTATTCCCTATCTCCTAAAATATTATTCCTTACCCTCTAAAATATTCCTAACTTTTTACGAGCTGTATTTATCTCATCAACACGTCTCCATTTCTAAAATGAAAAAATATTTTTCAGTTCTAACAAATGTCTTGTATAGAGGAAAATCTTACGGAAACTAATGTAAAAATCAAATTATTCCCTGCCCACTAAAAATGATTTCCTACCCGATAAAATATCCTAACTTTTTACAAGCGGACATGTTCCCCTAATTAGTGCCGATTAAACAATCAGAAAAAATAAAGACTTGCTAATGGAACTACAAATGAAAACTCATTTTTTATTTTTGGATTTCAGTCATTAAGGGTTTTTAATTTTTATTCAAAATGACCGTGTTTATTTTTCTTGGTTTTAGCTTTATTATATTACCGCAACAACAGTAGACGTACTTTTGTTTCGCTAAGTAGGATGAGACAAAAGAAAAAATAGTGGATGGCTGAGTAAGATCTAATCAATAATAGATTTGAAATAACGACGGGAAGTGATAATAACCTTTGGCAAGGCTTTTCTCTTCTTCTTTTATAATCTTTCGTATCCTCTGTCTATTTTTTCTCCCTCGAGGACAGGAGAATTGTAATTAATTTCTTTTATATTTCTACTACGCCAAATCAAAGACAATATTTTTTCCTTATTTTTTTTACACGATGATATTTCATTCCTCGCTATTTTTATTCCATTTATTCATCTTTTTTTTTCCGACTAAAAATCTATTGTGGACAGATAAGTGGCAGAAAAAATATATATATATATATATAGAAATAATAAATTAAAAAAGATATGTTTTTAAAACTGGAGATATTTAGGATATTTAATGAAAAAATCAGGCGATAATATAAAAAACAAATAATTCCCTTCCTCATTCGGTGCTTCCAGAGAAATCAAACCATTTCATTCTTTTTCAAAATAAACAATCTTATTCGATAGTCTGTTAAAAAAAAATTTAATACGTCTTCTTCTTTATTTACAACATCTTTAATAGTAGGGACATTCAAAGACTAGTAAAATGAACATACTATCCATGGATGCACAATCGAGTTCTGAACATAGTTTTCTTCCTTCAAAATGATGGCACGATGGACTGTTCTTCTTTTAAATATAATATATTTAATACTAGCACTAGAGCCCGGCGTTGCCCGGGGATGTAACACTAAGAGATAGATCAAGTTTCGACCATCATAAAGACTGAAAAATAAAATTGACAAAGATTATTGTTTAAGGTTGACGGACACGCATGTCTTAATTAGTTTTTTTTTTTTTTTACGAATTGGTCAAACCCAAACTCAAACAAAAACATTGTTTTCAATCGTTATGAGTCTATCGATTGAATAGAATTTTATTATAAACAATTGTCTTGTAAATGGAATTTTTAAAGCATTCTGAATGTAAAAATAAAGAAAAAAGTGTGCAAGACAATAAGAAACACTACCTGCGCCCCCTCCGTGAAGTTTTTTTGAAATCGGTTGAAAAATGTAGGAAATCCAATCCCATATATAAACGAACACACATACACAAACACACAACCTAGGTTTTATAATAAGTATAACTCGATATGAGTCGTTCTCCTTTCATTCTCGTGATGCCTATTAATTGTGTTTTCAAATTGATTTCGTGCAAAAACAATTGTTTTTCTAATTTTTGGTGCTGTCAGAACCACCGCAAGGTAATTTTACGTAGTCCTGTGAAGTTTTGTTGAAATCGGTTGAAAAATGTAGGAAATCCGATCCAATATATAAACGAACAGACACACACACACACACACAACCTGGGTTTTATAATAATTATGATTAGAAGCAGTTAAAGCGTGTTAAAATGAATACAAAAGTTACCATATTCCAAGTATCGTCGTCAAAATACTGTCCTTTCTTCTCAATCGTGGTACGATGGCCGATCAAAAAGTAATGCCTGTTCTTTAAATGCTGACTTGCTGCCACATCACGTTTGAAACACCGGAGCCGTACGACCACCGAAGTTAAGCAACATCGAGCCTGGTCAATATCTAGATAGGTGACCGCTTGGAAATACCAGGCGTTATAAGCTTGGATGTGCAGGTAGTGTAAATAGAAATGACACGGAATTCTTAATCGGAGAACCGAATTCCAATACCCATTGGCTTACACGCAAATGCCCTCGGTGGGGGGAGTTATGAATCCAACTTTTCTTCCCCTAGCTATCGGTTAATTAGTAAGATTAGTATCACTAAATAGTTATTATCTTTTTAAAAAAAAGAAAACACTTAAAATCTAAAAAAAATTTCTGGCTTTAAATAACCGGCAATGATGTTGATAAGCCGTAAAAAACCGAATCATATACCGAAAATACTCGCATATCATGCGACTGTTGAAGACCCAACGTTGAAGCTAAATTTAAGGGGTTCGCATCATACACGAGATATAAAATTAGCGTATGTCCTGTTGGCCCTGTCTACGTTGTTTACCAAACTATATATCAATTTACTGTAGTTAAATTAGCTTCAAAATGAGGGCTTCAAAGGTCACATGATGTGTGAGTGTATACGGTACATTTTTAGGACCCTGAAACTTGAACAGAGATGTAGTCTTCGTCACAACCAGTAATAATATAATCGAGGGTCCTACTGCCAAAATGTAGGCTATGAATAGATTATTGGGGTGGGGTCTTAACGAGCCCATACACTGGGGGTGCGGCGCTGCAGACCCCAAAGAAAAATTTGAAATTAGACCAATTACAGGAGAATTATGAGGCCATATAAAATGGGTCTTAGAGCATATTCTAAAGCCAACATTAGCCATTTCAACCCATTGGCTTATGATTACATTACAAAAAATGAACTTACCGTATATACTTGTGTAACATGCGAATTTTGAAGATCTAACTTTGAAGCTAATTTTTAGGGGTTGGCATCGTACACGAGATATAAAATTAACGTATATATTGTTGTCCCTGTCTACGCTTTTTACCAAACTATATATCCACTTACTGTAGTTAGCTTCAAGATTCGGGCTTCAAAAGTCGCTTGATACGCGAGTATATACAGTAATCAATCTTTAAATGCAATCTCGTATTTAACAGTAGAAGCACACAAGATATGCTATAATGAACTCAAAAGTCTCAGTATTCCAATTCTAGCCCTTAATATAATCTCCTTCATGTCCAGTGGTAGTATTTCACTTTTGAATGTGGGCGTGTGTTCGATCATTGCAAAAGTTCGTACCCGATTAGAAAGTTCTGGTTTGATGCTCCTTATATATTTCTAGAGTTCCATGATAAAATCAAAAGAAGAATCTGCAATATTATTGGTCCTGATCTGGCATCCTAAATTCAGTCACTTTGCCACCTAGCTTCCCTGTGCCCTTTCTATAAATACTTTCATGCTAATTGTTCTGACGAACTTTCCGCTATGGTTGCCCCCCCCAGCCAAATTGTACATATGGGAACAAGTTAGGAATTTATAGAGACTTAGTGGTATTATGGTGGCTATAGTAAGAATGTTAAGTAAGAATGTGTTGATTTTAGTGGGTCGTAATTGTGGCTAGCTATTTAAGATAAGACGGATTGAAGACCAGCCTTCCTCAATCTCCCCACCCCTCTTTAGCAGTGTGACACATTCTTGTATTTTCAAAATAGATATTACTTTTCACTATGGTACGTAGATTTTATAATTTCAAGCACAGTATTAGATTGGCGACAAGGTCTCACCAATTTACCGTTGAAATGGCTAGATGCAACCGTAAGTTCTATGCTAACAGTTTCTTCTCTCTCGCTTTGTGTAAATCTCTTCCGGCTTCGCGCTTCCGGTTAACTTTGATGTTCAAAAATGTAAATGCAATGTCAATCGTTATCTACTGTCTTCTTAATTCTTGTTCTTTTATTTTTCTGTCTCTTTAATAGTTTCTTTTTTTTTCTCGTGTTCTCTAACTCAGTAACGCCTTTGCGTCTTAGTGGCTTTAGTGCCTTGTTTGGGATGAAATGATTGCGTGCAATTTTTAAACATAACTTGAAGAATACATACTGTGAGAATATTGTTAAACACTGTGTCGTTTCTTTGTTATATTTTGCTCTCTTATATAGGATTCTGCTTCTTCTTATTATTATTATTAGAGTACATCAACATTTTCATTTTTACTGATTTTTATTCAAAGGTTATTTCCTATATACATCTAATGAATGTTGTTTTTTTGATATTATTAATTTATATCAAAAGTCTTTTCCTGTTTATAGATTTTAATTCAAAGCTTATCCTCGTGGAACTCTCTTTTGGCTTTTTGCTTCCCAGTCAACTTTGATCTTCAAAAATTTAAATGCAATGTCAATCGTTATCTTCTATCTTCTTAATTATTGTTCTTTTATTGTCCCTTCTCCTTCAAATTATTTTTATTTATATTCAGTAACACTCAGTAGACCCTTGCGTCTTAGTGGCTTTATTGCCTTGCTTGGGGTGAAATTATTAAAAAAAAAAGAACTAAAGACAAAATTTTACTTACAAAAACATTTATTAGTCAAGTACATAATCTCCATTGTTTTTAAGAAGTCTCCCATCGTTCTACAAAATTCTTGATGCCACTTTTTGTTGATGAAGTAATTTTCGACTGACGGTACAGAGTCCAATATTTTGTGATTTAAATTGTTCTGGAGAGACGGGAAGAAACTGCGAAGGAGCCAAAATCAGGAATATACGGTGGGTTCTCCGGCGGTGGGTAACCATTTCAACTCTTTAAGATTCTGCAGGGTCTATTTTATAACATGTGGTCTTGCGTTGCCGTCGGGGAAAATGACCACTTTTCGATTGGACAAAATCGGCCGTTTTTCTTGAGCCCAAATTTCTTCAAATGTCGAAAGGCAGTTGAGATATCGATTTATCAAACAATGAGCAATCTGTCCCATCGAAATCTTCGGTTTATTCTCCACGATGGCGAGCAAAGCGTCTTTTCATCGACTTTGGAAGGTCGCCCGGGGCGTGGTTGAACGTTTAGGTTAACACCCCAAGTCAGGAAAATACTGTGGATGCTGGAGGGTTACGCGTTTCAACTGTTTAACCTTCAGCAATGTCTGTTTAGCAACATCTGGTCTTGCGATGCCGTAGCGGAAAATGACACCTTTTTGATTTACCATAATCGGCCGTTTTTCTTGAACAGCCGCATTGAGGTTGGTGAGTTGGTCGCAGTACTTCTTAGCAGTTATGGTAAGTGAATTATCCCTGTGCAATCCCGCCAAAACGGACCGCCAAACCTTTATTGGATGCAAGACCGCTCTAAGTACGTGTTCTGTATATTAATAAGCATTTTTCAGATCCGTTTACACCGAACATTATTATAAATGATACATTTTTCATGACCTGGGGCAATTCTGTCCAAGAACGGCACATGTTCGTGGCGTAACATGAGAGACACAGTTGAGCTCGCTCTGTTTTGTCAGAGAAAATGGCAGCCATGTTTCGACTTTGAAAACGAACAAAATGGTGACAGCGCATAAACTACCTAACGAGCTTGTGTAAATAGATGGTGGACGAGGGTTTAAGAGGGACAGCAAAAATACAAAATTTACTAAGAGCTACAAAGGACGGGGAATTGTGGAGAGCCATGATCGCCAATGTGCTGAAGCGACCTAGCACATGGAAGAAGTGTTAAAAGTCAACTTGATAATTATATTATTATTTTCACTTTGAGTTGCATGTGCTGTCCATTTTCGTTGTTACTGCTATTGAAATATTTCTTGTGATGTTTTTTTTATTTATTACAGTTCTTTGCTTTTGATTCTGTTGCGCCAATCTACAAGAAGGACACTCCTCTTTATGACTCACAATATTCCTTAGATTGAAGCCATTTTTAAGTATTGACCTGTGAAAACGGTTCTATATAGTTGATAGTTTAGACATTCATATGAGAGTGTTATTTGAGAATATGACTTGAGTTCTTAAGTTAATAGTTTTCTTTTCTAGAACCTTGGGGTGTTGAATAGGAATAATCCCCGGCGACTCCCATTTCCGATACTGCTTCAGACACCGAAGTATTTGAAGCTTTCAGTATCTATGAATTCCACATTCTGAATTTTTATGATGGATTCAACTTTATTGTAAGTCCTCTAGCGTCTTTAAGAGTCGTAGTTTTCTGAACGTTCACTGAACATAACAACAGCGATGGACACAAAATTAATGTCTGCATAAAATCAAAACCTTGTAGACGTAAATAATACTTGACCCAAACAACATATTAAATAAAACTAATGCAGAAAATGAATTTTTCTTAATCATACTTATTATAAAACCCAGTGTGTGTGTGTGTGTGTGTGTGTGTGTGTGTGTGTGTGTGTGTGTGTGTGTTCGTTTATATATGGGATCGGATTTCCTACATTTTTCAACCGATTTAAACAAAACTTCACTTTTTTGGCAGGTAGTGTTTCTTATTGTCTTGCACACTTTTTTCTTTATTTTTACATTCAGAATGCTTTAAAAATTCCATTTACAAGACAATTGTTTATAATAAAGTTCTATTCAATCGGTAGACTCATAACGATTTAAAACAATGTTTTTGTTTGGGTTTGACCAATTCAATTCGTAAAAACAAAAAAAAAAAACTAATTAAGACATGCGTGTCTGTCAACCTTAAACAATAATCTTTGTCAATTTTATTTTTCAGTCTTTATGATGGTCGATACTTGATCTATCTCTTACTGTTACATCCCCGGGCAACGCCGGGCTCTACTGCTAGTCATTATTATTTTTAATTTTCATTTTAAAAAAACTGCACACAACATATACAGAAGTCAAACTACTACAACTCTTTCACGTCGACTAACATAGCATCTGTAGATTTGTGGGTAGCGTAGACATTACTGGCGCATCGAGTTAAAATTCCAGCCGGAAGCTGTTACGTTTTGTTTATCACAAATAGACATTGAAAAGCATGAAATCATTTTTCATCTTATGTCAGTGGTTACTAACAAGGCAAACTGGGCTCTCTAGCCTTGAAAGGTAACCAGATCATCAGAAAGAGAAACTTTGAATTCATAACCATTTGAGTATAGGGCGAGTAATTCCACACTGTAAGAATGATTTGCA